CACGGCAAGATCCGCCTCGAGGTACTGGTGACGGCAAGAGGAAAATCGAACCCGAGGCGACTGAGGGCTGGGACACTTGCATGTCTCGGGCAAGTCTCCAGGCATGCAAGAGTCCCCTCCTCCTCCTCCTCCTCCTCCTCCTCCTCCTCCTCCTCCTCCTCCTCCTCCTCCTCCTCCTCCTCCTCCCCGTCCTTCCCCTCTCCTGCAATCCAGAGGCAGGACCTCTGGAGACCTCCGCAGGCCCATGCGGAAGTGAAAGGAGCAGTAGTAGCAGCTGCAGCAGCAGGGGACACCCGAGAGAGGTTCAACCGGTGGCGGGCCTGAAGGCAGCCCGAGTAGGCTCCAAGATGGTCCCGAGACAGTCCCCACAGAGGTCGAGGAAAACGAAGGGGAAAAGAGGAGAGGAGGGCGTGGAAGGGGAGAGGAGGAGGAGGAGGAGGAGGAGGAGGAGGAGGAGCAGAAGCAGGAGGATGAGGAGGAGGAGGAAGAGAAGAAGGAGGACGGGGAGGAGGAAGGGGAAGATGAAGGGAGCGAGGGAGGAAATGGCAGAAGGGACAAGGGACGAGGAGAGGGGAGCAGGAGTAGGAGGGAAGAGAGGGAGAAGGAGGAGAAGCAGGAAGATCGGGAATGATGAGGAGGGGGGAGGGTAAGGAGGGACGAGGAGAGACAAGGAGGGACTAGCAGGGACGAGGGGGGGCGCGGAGGAGGGAGGGAAGCGATACCATGCCGTGGCGAGATGAGAGTAGGACAGCGGACACCAAAGGATTCTCCTTAGCGAGGAGGGAGAACGGCGGAGGGAGGCAGAGAAGCAGGAGGAAGAGGAAGCAGGAACAGCACAAGCAGGAGCACGTGCACCTTGTAGTCTGCGATCAGCTCCTCCTCGGAGCTCCACTGGGACATCCATTCGAGGTCCTCCTTGTCCACTGGCGCCTGGGAGGGCGTTCCCCTCCTCCTCCTCCTCCTCCTCCTCCTCCTCCTCCTCCTCCTCCTCCTCCTCAAATCTCATCATCAATCATCATCATCATCATCATCATCATCAACATCATCATCATCATCATCATCCATCATCATCATCAATCATCATCAGCATCAGCATCATCATCATCACATCATCCATCATCATCATCATCATCATCATCATCATCATCATCAACATCATCAATCATCAATCATCACATCACATCATCACTAACACCATCACCACCACCACCACCATCATCATCATCATCACCACACCACCACCACCCCCCACCACCACCACCACCACCACCACCATCATCATCATCATCATCATCATCATCAGCAGCAGCATCCTCATCATCATCATCAGCAGCATCATCATCGTCAGCATCATCATCATCAGCATCAGCATCAGCATCAGCATCAGCATCATCATCATCATCATCAGCAGCAGCACTATCAGCATCATCATCATCACCACCACCACCACCACCATCATCATCATCATCATCATCATCATCATCATCATCGTCAGCATCATCACCATCATCATCATCACCATCATCAGCATAAGTATCATACTCATCACCATCATCAGCATCCTAATCATCACCATCATCATCAGCAGCATCATCAGTAGCATCATCAGCAGCAGCATCAGCATCAGCATCAGCATCAGCATTATCATCCTCATCATCATCATCATCAATATCGCCAGCATCATCATCATCATCATCAGCATCATCATCATCGTCGTCGTCGTCATCATCATCATCATCATCATCAGCATCAGCATCAGCATCAGCATCATCATCATCATCATCATCATCATCATCATCATCATCATCATCACTTTCACCATCATCATCATCATCATCAGCAGCAGCAGCATCATCATCATCATCATCATCATCACCATCACCATCATCGTCGGAAGTCGTCCCCCGTCTTCTCTCACTGCCAGAGCGCTCTGTGACCAGGATGCTGAGGCCAATCCAGCCCTGCGACTGGCGTCACCTCCAGAACGACACAGCCCCGGCGAGCCAGCTTCGGCTGCGCATGCCCCCAGGAAGGGCGCGCGCGCGGCACTGGCGGCGGCGGCGACAACTTAGGAGGCAGCAGCGAGGATGGCACGTGGACGTGCCACGCCTGCCACCTGCACTGCGAGCGGGCATCAAAGGCGACCTGCCGCGCCCGCGGCAGGGCCGAGCCGAGAGGCCGCCGACGCAGGCCGCCCAGAGCTCGCCGTGCAGGCAGACGAGGGGCAGCGGCGGCTCGCATCCAGCAGCCGGGGCGCGAGTTGGCCGAGAAGTCCGAAAGGGTGGCGGGCGCACGCCAAGTGCACCGCGCAGGCGGCCGAAGAGCGCGCGGACACCAAGGGAGGGGAGGCAGCTGCGGGCCGAGGTCGACGCCGCGGCTGGCTGCGGGCATCGGCGGCGCGCAGCCTCCCACCACCGAGGAGAAGGCCCGCCCCAAACAAGCCGACGGTCACCCGGCTGCGAGAGCACAGCGGTCGGAGCAGGAGGACAGGCCGCGCCGTCAGGGCCGCGCCGTCAGGGCCGCGCCGTCAGGGCCGCGCCGTCAGGGCCGCGCCGTCAGGGCCGCCTGCCAGTCGCCAGACCCTGAGATCTGACACTGCGGAAAAATACAGCATCGCACAATTTTTGGGGGGGGCGGGGCTCACTGGTCCCCTCGCCGAAGGCGGCACCGCCATGGCGGTGCCAGCGCCTGCCGCTTGAGCATCTGGGCTACTCGGGCCTGCTGAAGGGTGTAGCCACTTTTTGGGGGGCAGCATCGCAAAAATCATGACCAGAGCCCTGGACCCCATCCTTCTGCCGCATTTCCCGAGCCGGGCCGACCTGGGATGGTCATGGGGGTCCCGACACTGGGCGAGAAAGCCCGGCGCGAGAAAAGTGCAACGCCCGGAGCTCGAGGGAGCAGCCAGCCAAGCAGGCCCGGAAGCTGCGCATCCGAACGGCCGCGCTGGGGCCGGAGAGGCGCCAGCTCCGGACGGCCAGGGAGCGGGCCAGGGCCACCCGGCGCGGCGCAGCCGCGTCCTGCAGCGCGCCGAGGCTGCGGCGGCCGCCCTCGAGGCCTCAAGGCCCTGCGGGCTGCCCTCGGGCAGGTGGCCACCAGCGTCGACCAGCTCCTCGCCACGGCGGGCAAGGCAAGACCACCTGCGATCCACGGGCAGTGCTGCCACAGCAAGGGGAGCGGGGAAAGAAGCGCGCCTGGGACGGCTCGAGCTGGGCCGCCACGGCAGAGGGCGAGGTGGACGAGGCCAACTCCAAGCTGCGCAAGGTCCGCCCGCGGCGGCACCGGCAGCGCCGGGTACAAGAAGCGGCCACTCGAGCTCATCCAGCAGAACACCGAGCGAGCCAAGCTCGAGCCCAATACCGCCGTTGCGTAGTTGGCAGCGCCTGGCGTCGGCTAGAGAAACAGAGGCAAGCCCCTGCGCTGCGCAGCGCGCTAGGCCTGCGCCGTACTGCCACCGTCGGCGACGCTGTCAACTTCATAGGGGACTGCGTCAGGAGGACCCTGCCCACGAAGAAGAGGAGACGGGCCGAGCGTGCCCAAGCTGCCTGTCGACGCGATGAAATGGCCATCTTCGTCGAGGCGGCTGCGTACCTCCATCAGCAACCGCGTAGTTCTGGAGTAGAATCAACCAAGGGAAAGCAGCCTGCGGGACGGGTCGATCGGACCCCCTGCGACGGAGGACGGCCATCTGGGCCACCTCCACAGCAGCGGCGGCGCGTGTGGTCATCGGAATCGACGCTAAGTCGACGCTAACCGACGCTGAATCGGCGCTACCCCATCGACTCCCAGACGCTCATCGACGCTATCGACGCTAAAGACGGAAGTGTGAGCGCACACCAGGCTCCCATGACTTGCTACCGAAACACTCACCGCGCCCCGGCTTCACCGCGGCCACACGGCGCCAGCTCCTCGGGACGAAGGGGCCCCCGCGGCCTCGCTGCCAGGCCGACCCCCCGCGGCGCAGCAGCTGGGCGCCACCGCAGACGACGACGACGACGACGACGACGACGACGACGACGACGACGACGACGACGACGACGACGACGACGACGACGACGGCTCCACGCCCCAGAGATCCGGTGTCTTGGCTTTTCAACATGGCGTCCTGGCTTCGCAGCTGCCCCCATGGGAAGGGGTCGAGACTTCGATGGGCCCCGAAGCCTCGACCCCTCCACCGGCACCCGCGCCTCCTCCCAAGTCTGGGAGGGCACCAACTATACACCTACACCGATCTTGGCCAGGCCAATCCTGGGCCCAGGATCGGTGTATACGCCCTCCTGCCCCAGGCAGGAGGGCGTATGCACCGATCCTGTGCCCAGGGTGATCCTGGCCAGGATCGGTGTTGGTGTACAATTGGTGCCCTCCGAAAGTCTTCTCCGAGGCCCTGGGGCCCGGCGAGGGCCCTCGCGGGCCAAACACCACGAAAACCCTCCGTCGGGACCCTCCCTCTCCTCCTCCTCCCCCTCCTCCTCCTCCTCCTCCTCCTCCTCCTCCTCCTCCTCCTCCTCCTCCTTCCTCCTCCTTCTGGCACGCTGCGGTCTGGGGCCCGCCCGCGGGGCGCACGCCGCCCTCGCCCGCCAGAGAGCCCGGCCTCGGCCAGCGCCGTCGGCAGCTCCGGGGGATGGACGCGCTGGGCCCGCGGAGCCGCTCGCAGCAGGGCGAGCCTCCTCCTCCTCCTCCTCCTCCTCCTCCTCCTCTCCTCCTCCTCCTCCTCCTCCTTCTCCTCCTCCTCCTCCTCCTCCTCCTCCTTCCTCCTCCTCCTCCTCTGGTTTTTCTAACCGGGCGTGGCTCCTCGATGCCAGCCTCCGGGAGACCGTTTTCGGCCCCCGGACCCCTCCCGGTTTGGACGCCCGAAATGGGTACGGAAAGAATGGGCACAATGCCCAACAACGAATGTTGTCCCAGACCAACAGCGGCCGCTGTTGGGCAGGCGGCCTTCTGTCTCAAATGGGCACAGACCGCGGCGACATCGACAACGAGTTCAAAATTCAAAATGAACAGGAACTGCTGTTGGGCATTGTGCCCATTCTTTCCGTACCCATGTCGTTCGTGCCGAGCCCGAGGTCCCAGCGCACCAGCTTCCCGGTCTGGCCGCTGCGATGCGGGCCCCCCCCCCGAAGGCCACCTGCCGTTGTCTCCACTCTCCCTCCTCGGAGCGTCGGGCCTCCGAGAGCGCCGAGCTCGTGGAGCCGCCGGCCGCCCTGCCTTTTTGCTCGCGGCGCCCACCCGAGCGCTGGCCGCTCGGCGCCGCGGCGCAGCCGTGCGCCTCGTGCACCTCGTGCACGCCAGCCAGCGCGCCGCAGCCCGGCCCCGTAGGCGGCACTCGGCCCCCACGGCGATAGGGAGGGCCCCCCGAGGGCCGACTGCTGGCGTCCAGCCGGGCGGGGCGCCGTGTCTCCGCCCGCGCTCCGCACGCGGGCCCCTCGCGGCTCGGGGCAGCGAGGGCCGGGCGGCCGGGCCACTCGGCTTCACGCCTCCCGCCGCCGAGCGGAGGGCGAGTCTGTGGACAAAAACCAGAATCTGTGTGTGTGTTGTATGTTGTAGGTTGTAGGTTGTATGCTGTATGGTGTACGTTGCTGCTGTATGTTGTGTGGTGTGCGTGATGTGTGTCGTGTGGCGTGTGATGTGTGTGTTGTGTTTTGTGTCTGTTGTGTGATATGTGTGTTGTGTTTTGTGTGTTGTGTATTATGTGGTGTGTGTGTGTTGTGTGTCGTGTGGTGTGTGATGTGTGTTGTGATGTGTGTGTGTGTTGTGTGTTGTGTGTTGTGCGTTGTGTGTTGTGTATGTTGTGTTGTGTGTTGTGTGTGTTGTGTGTGTGTGTTGTGTGTTGTGTGTGTTGTGTTTTGTGTGTTGTGTGTTGTGTGCCTTGTGTGTTGTGTGTTGTGTGTTGTGTGTTGTGTGTGCTGTGTGTGTTGTGTGCTGTGTGTGTGTTGTGCGTGCTGTGTGGGTTGTGTTGTGTGTGTTGTGTGTTGTGTGTGCGTTGTGTGTGTGTGTGTGCGTGCGTGCGTGCGTGCGGGTGTGTGTGTGTGTTGTGTGTATGTGTGTTGTGTGTTTCCCCACAATATGTGCGTGTGTTTCCACAGTCTGTGTGTTTTTGTTTCCATGTGTGTTTGTGTGTGTGTTTTGTTCCACGGTGTGTGCTTTTTTTAACCACAGAGTAGACCGGACACTCCAACGGCAACAGCCTCCGCAAGCGACTCGCACGAGCAAGTGTGCGAAACAGGCGGAGGAAGAGGGGCGGCAATGCAAGAAGTTCTGACACCGTGAGGCTCGAGAGAATCACACCCAGAGGCTCGCGTGCGCTGCCTGCTGGAGAAACTGGGCATGGGCCCGACATCGAGGCTACGCGGAGCGCCCTCCCGCGACGGGCAGCACTGAGCCACGCCACCCGACGAGCGAGCTTCCCGCTCCCTCCACGCCGCGTGGACTCGCGAGCCGCGGTGACTCTCTCGCGCCCTTCCTCTGGCCACCGACGTCCCGTCCCCGTGCACCTCTCGGCCTCGTTTGCGTGCCCTCTCGCAGGACGGCCCCCCCAAGAGACTCCCCGCTGGCCCTCGCCGAGAGCACGCGCGCGCGCGCCCGAGGGCTGCCAGGCTCTGCGGCGACAGGAAGATAGCCAGGTCCGGGGAGATAACAAGAGGTACCGATACCACATCTCCCTGGACCTCTCCTGGGGTGCGCTCCCACCAGGAGTTCGACGCGAATCCAGCGGTGGCGACGAGGGCCTCCCGGGAGGGCCCAAAAAGGAGGAAAACGCCCCCAATGGGTACACCCTGCGAAATGCTTTAGAAATCATGGGTTAAGAAATTCATAGTCTCAGAATTCGAACAAAAATCCAGAATCTCTATTCAAATCTTAGGATCTACATTGAAACATTAAGAATAATTGAGACTCTGGACGAAAACTTTGGTTTTCTTAAGCATCGCCCAAGGTGTAGAGGTATGGGAACCCCTCTTCCTCCTCCGAAGGTCGCCCGAGGAGCGCGCGCCCCTCGGCGCGCCGCCTCGGCGAGCCCGCCCGGCAGGCCCGCGGGCCTCGACGGCAGCGGCCCCCGGCCGCGGAGGCCGGGAGGCCCTGCGCGCGGCGGCCGCCGCGCCGCCGAGAGCCGCCCCGTCGAGGGGAGGCCGCTCACTGGCCGCATGCAGCGCCGGCGGGCCGCCCAGCCCTGGGCACGGGGCACCGGGCACGAGGCTGCGCGCCGCAGGGCGAGGAGCGGCGGCGAGGCGGGGGGGGGGGGGGGTGGGATCTCGGAAGGAGGGGGAGAAGGAGCGGCCCTGCTCGGAGTGCTCGGAAGCCCCCGGGCCTTCTCGCTCGCCGCCGAGGGGAGGCAAATGAGGTGCAGAAGCGGGATAGTGTTAGGATGGGAGGAGGGGAGGAGGAGGAGGAGGAGGAGGAGGAGGAGGAGGAGGAGGAGGAGAAGGAGGAGGAGGAGGAGGAGGAGCAGGATGCGGCCGCTGTCCTGGTCGAACAGGCCAGCGGGGATGTCCTCCGCCCTGAGCGCCGCCCGCGCGTTCTGCATGGCCGTCACTGCGCCTGCTCGTCCCGAAGGGCAGCCCTTCCGCGGGGAATGCTTCGGAGCGGGGGGAAGCGGAAGAGCCAGCTGGTCGTCACTCCCCAGCCCTGGAGGCAGGCGCACGGTCCTCCTCGCTGGGCGACCGGGGACCACCAGGCCCTGCGTGGCCGCGCACTCTGCCATGCCTGGCCAGACGAGCGGACCTCCTCGATGAGCGGCCTGAGAGCTGCAGGCCAAGCATGACTCCGCGCTCTCCACCTCCTCAGCGATCCTCTCCACAGAAAGAACGCGTGCCCAGGGACGACCGCAGAGGAGCCGCAGGCGCTGGGATGGCAAAAATGCCACCGCGGACCACCGCGGCGCGGGCTCGCGCGCTTGAGCGCTGAGACGGTTGCAGCCCTACCTCTCGCTGGGAAATAGTGCGTCCCATCATCGCGATCATCACCACCATTGTCACCTTCACATTCGTCATCATCTTAATCAACAACTCCTCCGTCTCCTCCCCCTCCCCAACTTGTTCATCTCTGGTCCTCCTCCTCCATCCCTCCTGCACTTCCTCCCACGTCCTCGACAGCGACAGCAAGGACGACGACTGCCGTGCCTGGGGGGTGAACCCGTGCTCTTGCATGTCCCTGCTCGACACAGCGTGCCCGTCGCCAAACTCCGTGGGGGTCTGCGCCGACACGGAGCCCGCCTCGTGAGGCTCTTCCTCCTCCTCCTCCTCCTCCTCCTCCTCCTCCTCCTCCTCCTCCATATCCTCCTTCTCCTCCTCCTCTTCCTCCTCCTCCTCCTCCTCTTTCTCGTCCTCCTCCCCCTCCTCCTCCAATTTCTCCTCCTCCTCCTCCTACTACTCCTCCATCCCTTTCACTTATAAGCTCCTCCATGTCGCACCCCCAAGCGTGTCCGTAGGCCGTACTGAGCGGCTTTCGCCCGAAGCTTACTCACCGTGTACGATACTGAAGCTTGAGGTGTGCAACCGCTTCCAGGATGGAGGGCGGGTCGTTTTCTCGCCTTCGCGCCGCGCACATTCGACAAACAAGTTTGAAGCAGCTTCAAAAAAAGGAGGGCGATTCAATGTCAAAACGGTGTTCTCGCCTTCGCGCCGCGCACAGTATCGCTCCAACAGTGTTCAACACCTTCAAGGATGGAGACCGGGCCGTTTTCTAAATGTGGCTCTTGCTGTCGCGCCGCGTACATTCGTTTTAAACGTCTGCAACAGCTTGAAAGATGGAGGACGGGTCGTTTTCGAAGTGTCGCTCTCGCTTTCGCGGCACGAGCATTCGACTTAAACGTTTGAAGCAGTTTCATAAATGGAGGGCGGCTCCGTTTCAGCATGTGGTTCTCGCCTTCGTGCCGCGCACATTCGCCTGATTCGTCTCCAAAGCTCACAAACTCAGAATGGCTTTCTGGACACGAATGGCTGAAGTCCCAGGAATGGTGCTCTGACACGGTTAAGGTTTGTCTAGGCGCAACTGTCTCATTGATTCGCTGTGTTGAAATCCCAGTAATAAAGTTCTGGCACGACTCAGGATTGCCAAAGTCACGTTGAGTCGGGGCTCATGATTGCCAGGACTCAAAAGTCACGTTGAGTCGGGGCGCTGAAGTCCCAGGAACGGTGTTCTGGCTGAGGGTTGTCAGACGGTTGTCGTCCAACGAGGGACGTCCGGCAATGAGCAGAAACTCTTCTAGGGAATTATGAAGAGGGCACTTGAAGGAAAGGTTTATTGCAGCATGGCTCAGCATGGCTGGGGCGCTTGGAGTATAATTACGCAGGTCCACCTCCTCCTCCTCCTCCCCCTCCTCCTCCTCCTCCTCATCCATCCCTGTTCCTTCTAAATAACTCCTCCACGTCGCACCCTCAAGCGTGTCCGTAGGCTGGGCTGAGCGTTTCGCCCCCTGGCCTCGCACACCTTGTGATTTCACAGGGCTGGCTGTTCCCTCGTCACTCTCTCTCTCTCTCTCTGTCTCTGCGTGTCTCTCCAGAGAGAAAGAGAGACAAAGAAAGAAATAATGAAAGGAGGGAGAGAGAACAAGAGAGTCGGGCGCCGGCGAAAAATCGGCACAGGGAAATAGCGACGACGCGCGAACGCCAGAGCAAAGGCGTCGTCGTCGCCGCCTTGTGGGGGAACGGGCACGTCCTGGGGAACGCGTAGTGCAGCCACTGCGCGAACAGGCGCCCGTGGATCGGCACCTGGCCGCCGTGCGCGGAGGCGATCTCCTCCAGCTGCGCCCTGGTGGCCGGGCGGGGAGGAGGCAGTGGGAGAATGGAGGAGGACGAGGAGGAGGAGGGGGAGCAGCAGGAGGAGGAGGAGAGGGAGGAGGAGGAGGAGGAGGAGGAGGAGGAGGAGGAGGAGGAGGATGAAGGAAGGAGGAGGAGTGAGGAGGAGGAGGAGGAGGAGGAGGAGGAGGAGGAGGAGGAGGAGGAGGAGGAGGAGGGGGATGGGGGAGTGGGAGGAGGAGGGAGGGATGGAGGATGAGGGAGGAGGAGAGGAAGGAGGGAGGAGGAAGGGAGGAGGAGGGGAGAGGAGCTCAGGCATGCCCGCGTCGTGGAACAACAACAAACGACGGGAGGGCTTTGTTGCCGATGTTGTCGGCCTCGAGGCTCCCCCGCCGCGCCCCGGGACCGCCAAAAAACGGATCGAAGGATGAAGAGGTGGTTCCGGGGAGTGGGTCGAGCCCTCCGGGATCCACGTCATGAACAAAGCCATGACGTCGGGAAGAAGAAGAAGAAGAAGAAGAGGAGGAGGAGGAGGAGGAGGAGGAGGAGGGGATCTGAGTCGAACGTCGGTCAGTGCGTCTCTTGGCGGCGCGCACAGGGGGGTGGAGGGAGGGAGGAGGGCTTCCTAGGAGGAGGCTGCTTCTCAGAAGGCGCCGGCCTTGCATCTTTAGACACGGCCCGCGCCTTCTACGTAAGAAGCAGGGGTGCTTCTAAGAAGCCCTCCCCCCTCCCCCCACCCTCCTCTGCGCGTGGCTGAGTCTCGCTGTTCTCGCAAGCAGGGGGTGGGCTGGGTGGCGCGAAGACCACTTCCGCCAACAGCCGCCTCGCACCCAAGAAGGGTGGAGAAGGCCGAAGAGAATCGGGGCACTGCAATTCTTGTCATATCGGGCGTTCTCGCCCAGTTTCGGACCCCGGAGGCCATCACGGATCGATCCGGCTCGACAGATGCAGAAGAAAGATGTGGCATACAGGGCTCTGGTCAAGACTTTCGCTCGCGGATCACCGAGGAGGACGTCCAAATCTTCGAGGATATGGTTTCTCAATCCGGACGACCTCCTCCTCCTCCTCCTCCTCCTCCTCCTCCTCCTCCTCCTCCTCCTCCTCCTCCTGGTTCCTCGATGCCAGCCTCCGGGACACCGTTTTTGGGCCCCGGGGCCATCAGAGATGGATCGGGGGCGAAAAACTGGTCCCGGGGAAGCGTTCGGGCCTTCTGGGGCCGCGGACTGACAAGAAGAAAACAGCGGATGTCAGCGGGAGGAGGAGGAGGAAAAGGAGGAGGAGGACAGAGGCTGGGGGTGGAGGAGGAGGAGGAGGAGGAGGAGGAGGAGGAGGAGGAGGAGGAGGAGGAGGAGGAGGGAGGAGGAGGAGGAGGAGGAGGAGGAAGAAGAGGAGGGGGGGAGGAGAGCGGAGGAGAAGGGGGGAGGAGGGGGGAGGAGGGTTTTCATTACTTCCTCGGGGTCAAAGATGGGCCAGGGAGCAATCGAGACCAGTGCTAGGGCTCGGGGGCTTTGCCAGCCCCGTTGACCTGGGCCAAAAAGGGCCAATGAGCGATTATCTCCTCGTCATTGCCACACTCGGGGGCGCCTACACTGCAAGAAGAGGCGCATCGTATGCTGCACCGTCTCATTCCGCTGCCAGCCCACCACGTTAAAACTGGGTCACATACTGTCCAGCCCTAAGAGCTTGGACGTGGCAGACTGGCAACGCTTGCTGCAGAAAAGCAGGGTGCTACCCTGCTCGGCCTCAGGCCGAGGGTTGAGCTCACACCGCTCAATATCGTGGGTGTGGCCACGTTGGAACACTCTGTGAAACCTTACGGGAATATCGCGACGCCTACAGTCTCGACGGAGGGAGGAGGAGAGGGACCTCCGGGAGGGAGGATGGGGGCATGCAGCGCTACATACAACTCAGGTGGAAAGGTTGTCCTGCCAGCGTGGCAAAAAACTCCGCCAATCGGTTTCGACCGCGCGGTCTCAGCGAGAGATAACCTCGACATGAGGTGGCCTGGAAACGAATCGGCACCACGCGCTGGACAAGAGACCGACGAGGCGAAAGAGGATGTGGAGGCAGAGCTGGTTGTACAAGTAGTCCTTGCACAGCGGCGAAAAAAGCAAACCTGCGTAACATGGCAAGTCAGAAACCATGCAGCGCCGCGGATGACAGGACAGTAGCCTATAGCCCTATCATGCCGAAGGGGGGGGGAGAAGAGGAGAGGAGCGAGCGAGGAAGCGGACCCGGAAAGGCAGACACCCACAGAGGGCCGAGGCCGGACAGCCAGGCGGACCGGACAGCCAGGCTGACGGCGGCGTGGGCGTGTGCAAGGGGGGCGCCGCCGAGCGGAGCGTGAGTGAGAGCGCAGTGGACGCGCGGCTGGAGGCACCTCAAACACCGAATGCGCGGCGCGCGAAGGGGATAGGAAGGCACCAACTATACACCAACACCGATCCTGGCCAGGATCACCCTGGGCCCAGGATCGGTGTATACGCCCTCCTGCCATGGGCAGAATGCATATACACCGATCCTGGGCCTAGGATCGGCCTGGGCTGGATCGGTGTAGGTGTATAGTTGGTGCCCTCCGATCAAACACCGAATGCGCGGCGCGCGAAGGGGACCGCGGAGAGCGCGCGCCGGCGTTCCGGAGACAGTCGGGGGAGGGGAGGAGAAGGTGCAAGGCGCCCGCGAGTGACCCCGCGGCAGGGCTCCTGCACGAGGCTCTCGGAGCTCGTCCGTGCTGGATGGCGCTGCCCTCGGCGAGGTTGTCCGGGGCGGATGCTGCGGAGGCGGTCGGCTCTGCGGCTGGCGCAGCTATGAGGTAGTCGGTCTGAGCGGCTGCCGATGTCGCTGCCATCAGATCCCGCGGGATAGTGGTAGGCGGTGCCGCCCGCCAGACTGACGACGAGAGCAGTTGCATCGATACCGGCAGTGGCAACACTAGACATGCTGCTGGTGATAACGTTCGCCGCAGTCTGGTCGCAAGAGCACGCAAAGTGAACTCGAACAGAATAGTGGCAAAGGAAATAATAGTGGTGCTATTTCGTCATACATGTATTGCGCGCGAGGCTTTAACTCGATCAACTTGTAACGGCCGCGATTGTCATGGGTATGCACCGCGCTCTTGCTTGTCATGCTTACACTGGGCGACAAGCTGAAGATGGACTGTGTGGCAACCTCAAAATGGCGTGGAAAAAGATCAAAGAATGGCACGCGGTCAGAAGCACCGTCGCACTAAGACATCTGGCCAATCGTCACACGGGTGAGGGGAGAGAGCAGAGACGCAGAGGAAGGAACTGAAGTCGGCATGGGTGCTCTTCGGGCACTCTACAGATCATGGCGACACCACCGCGGCAACCGACTCTGGATGATCGAGCCGTGCAGCCAGACGCTACTGAGTAATGCTGTGACGGTGTTGTTAAGGCCCAGTAAAGCGACCGGCGTGCTGACCCCCCCCCCTCCGCGACAGGAGGTGCGTCGCGCGTTCGTCGCCCGTGCGCCGCCCGCGCGTCGGCCGCCGAAAAGGCCAGCCGTCCTCTCGAACGTGCACGTCGCCCTCGCAAGGGGGCAATACAACCCATACACCGTCACGGTGTATGGGTTGTAGACTGGGAGCGGCACTGGTAATGGCAATTGCCATGGACGGGGGGGGAGTGGAACTCGTCGCCCCTACGGCTTGGAACGCTGTCAGGCGATTGTGCCGGGCGGCTGGCGCCAGAGCCCCCTCAGAGAGCCCCTGGGGATGTGCGAGTGGCACTGATAGCTGCAGCGCTGGTAGAGGAAGTAGCAGTGCAGGTGAGTCATAGGAGTCGAAGCGGTATGGGGCAGTGGCAGGGAGGGTCAGCGGGGAATGGGGAGGAGCAGGAGGACGGAAGAGAGTGGAGGGAGGATCTGGGAGGGAGGAGGGGGGTTGGGCGGAGGAGCGATGAGAAGGGAGGAGTGGGGAAGCAGGAGGAAGGAGGAGGCGGAGCAGGAGGAGGAGCTTGGAGACCCTCCTCCTGCTCCTCCTCGCTTAGGTCTCGAATGCTGTTGCAGGAAGTGCTGGCCAATGTCCTGGCCTCCCGAAGCCGCTGCAGGCCTCCGGGCCCCCCTGGCCGCCGGAGACTCCTCCTCCTCCTCCTCCTCCTCCTCCTCCTCCCGTCCCTCCTCCTCCTAATCATCATCCTCCTCCTCCTCCTCCTCCTCCTCCTCCTCTTCCCTTCCTCCTCCTCCTCTCATATTCCTCCTCCTCCTCCTCCTCCCCTCCTCCCTCCTCCTCCTCCTCCTCCTCCTCCCCCTCCGCCTCCTCCTCCTCCCTCCTCCTCCTCCCCTCCCTCCTCCCTCCACCTCCCTCTCCTCCCTCCTCCTCCTCCTCCTCCTCTCCTCCTCCTCCGCCTCCTCCTCCTCCTCCCCTCCCTCCTCCTCCTCATCTCATCATCATCATCATCATCATCATCATCATCATCATCATCATCATCATCATCATCATCCTCCTCCCTCATCCTCCTCCCCTCCTCCTCCCCCCCCTCCGCCTCCTCCTCCTCCTGCCTCCTCCTCCTCCTCCTCCTCATCCTTCTTCTCCTCCTCCTCCCTCCTCCTCCTCCTCCCTCTCAATCCTCATCATCGTCATCATCATCATCATCTCATCATCATCATCATCATCATCATCATCACATCCCTACTCCTCCCCCTCCACCTCCCCTCCCCCTCACCCTCCCCTCTTCCCCTCCCTCTCCCCCTCCCTCCCTCCTTCTCCTCCCTCCCCCTCCTCCTCCTCCTCCTCCTCCTTCTCTCCTTCTCCTCCTCCTCCTCGTCCTCGTCCTCCTCCTCCTCCTCCTCCTCCTCCTCCTCCTCCTCCTCCTCCTCCACCCTGCCCAATTGTTGTCGGAATTCGGGGTCCTCCTGGCCGCCACGGCCGGACGCGCCGCGAGCATCGAGCCACAGGTGGGCTCCTTGGAGGGGCCTCGGGGGCCGCGTGTGATCAGAGGTTGTTATTGACGGGGGCGGGGGCGGATCCAGACCTCCGGCGTCACAGGAAAATCG